CCAAATCCTAACTCACTCCAACCAGTATCAACACTAAATTCCAAAGTCTTATCTAAATATCATCTAAATCAGGTCTGGGTGAGACTCAAGCTATAATTTATCTTGAGGCAAAACTCTGCTCTGGCCGTGAACCTGCAAAACCAGACAAGTTACATGCTTTCAAAATACAATGGTGATTAGGCACTGGACAGACCTTCCCATTACAAAGGGAGAAACTGCAAGGAAGAAATATGTGACAGGACAAAAGCAAATCTAAACCCTAGCAATACTCGTTCCTTTAGATACTAACTTTCCAGTACATCCTATTTGGCTCAATGTCCCGCCTCCCAGGCCCAATGGGGTGGCTGCAGCCTCCCGTGGCTCTGTGGGGTGGCCCCACCCCTTTGGTTCTGTGGAGCCCCACCCCCAAGGCTCCCTGCAGGCGCCTAAGGCTTGTTGAAACTCAGGCAGCGGCTCTGATGACCTCTGAATCGCCTTTGGGGCCATTGCTCCCTGTTCCTGAAGGATAATGCACCTTCACAGCTACATTGCTCCCTCATCCCATCCTGTTAAATCTAAGAAGTCCAACAACCTTTCCTCATTTTGCCCCATCTCCATCCCCTTCGGTTCAAACTGGTAGTGTTTCTGCTCACACAATCCCATAAACTTGTTATCAAATGGCTGTCTGGCCACACCCTTAGTGTTCTTTTCAGAAGAAGCTTTCTCATATTTTGCCATAAGGATAGGTTGAGAATTTTCAAATCTTCAGTTTCTGGTTTGTTTTAGCTTAACAATTCCTTCTTCAGTTCCTCTTGCTCCTGCTGCAGCAAAGAGGAACCAAGCTGCTCCAATGACCACTCTGCTTAGAAATCTCCTCAGCTAAATATCCAATTTCACTGATCACAATTCTTCTTTCCATAAAACATGAGAACACAGTTCAGCCAAGCTCTTTGTCATTTTATAACCAAGACTGCCTCTCCTACAGTTTAAATGACATGTTCCTCATTTCTGTCTCACACTTCACCAGAATCACCCTTCCTGTCCATATTTCTACCTCAAACATCTTCTAGCCTCTACCCTTTACCCAGTCATAAAGCTGCTTCCACACATTTAGGTTATTTATTACAGCAGCAGCCCACTCCTGGTACCAAAATCTGTCTAGCTTGTGCTGCCATAACAAAATACCAAAGAGTGGGTAGATTAAACATAAATTCATTTTCTCACAGTTCTAGGGACCAGAAGTCCAAGATAAAAGTGTCAGCATGGTTGGTTTCCGTTGAGAGCTTTCTTTATAGCCTATAGGTTGCCACCCCCTCACTGTGTCATCACCTGGTTGGGGGGAAGGTGAGGTAGGAGGGAGAGAGAGCAAGCTTTCTGGTGTCTTATAAGGTCACCAATCCCATCACAAGGGACCTACCCTCTGACCTCATCTAAATCTAATTATGTCCAAAAGGCCCCATCTGCAAATACTATTACATTGAGGGTTAGGACCTGAACATGAATTGGAGAGGGGGGCACAATTCAGTCCACAGCAGAGCAGCTCAGCCAGCCTGGGTAGCAGCAGGCACCTAGTTTCCCCAGGAGGTTGAAAGAGGGCAGAAGAGAAGGAATTGAAGAAGATTCGCTGAGTTGGTGTAATCTACCAGAGGAATGCAAATTTCAGCAAAAGATTTTTCTGCTGGGGATCCCGATTATCATTTCAATGTAATTAGTTCAAGATGTGGCTATATAATACTTCAAATTCTTTTAAGTTGTGGAAAATGTACAGAACTTTTGTAAAAACATTATAAAAAAGACTCAGGACTCTTCAGAGAACTCTGAAGCAATTTTAGGAAACTGATCCAGGCTACACTTCATTCATTCTCTTTGAAATAGAACTGTGTGACTGTGTCCAAATAACACTGTAAAATAAAGGTCCAACAGTCAGGGCTAGTAGTTGGGGGTTGCACTGGGGAAAGATGAGCGTGGAATGGCAAGGCTAAGAGAGAATTAACTACCTGCCAGGCCCTCTTTTTACACCTAGACTTAATGCTGAATGGGTTTAGAATTCATTAAAATAGCCAGAAGTGCAGTAGCCTAATTTCAACATACACAGTGGGGTTACTGATGTGAGGAAGACAAGATGAGGAGGGAGGGCTACCTGATGTCAAAGGCCTTTCCAATACTTAAGTCTCCGCCTCTTCTACAAGAACGTGGCAGAGGTTTCTGGAGATTATGTACTGCCTCTGGATGAGGATGTTGGCCCTGTTCTTATATGACTAAGGGAAAGGTGCCCAGCAGTGCCAGCTTCAACAACCCAGAAAGGAGAAATAAATGATTAAGCTGACATCATTCAGTCAAATGAACTCAGAGAGACACCTAGAGCTGTATTTTTAGGGAAGAGGAACAAGCAGGGGCTTCAGGGAGAAAATGGTAAAAAACAAAATAAAAAGGCAACCACCACCAGACAGTGGTGTAGGTAAGGAACTAGGTACCCGGTACATAAGCAGAAGAGAGAGAACTCCTGCTGAGGAAAAGGATACCAGATTTATTTGAATTTCCCCAAAAAGGAAAGGTTTGAGAAATAGATCATTTCAGGAAATTAAAGGAAGAAACAAAGAAAAACCATTGAGAAAGCAACAAGAAACAGTAAATCAACAATACTAGTTAGCACTGAAAAAGATCTCTACAATTTGAAAAAGATCTTGTCAGTTTACTCAGTCACCAGCACAGTATGTAGCATGTAACAGATAACTCACTAAATATCTGTTGAGTCAAAGAACGTTACTGGCCAGGTAGTTAAGTAGGTTGGAGCGTTGTCCATTATATCAAAAACCTGTGGGTTCAATTTCTGGTCAGGGCACACACCTTAGGTTGCAGATTCAATCCCAAATCAGGGCATGTACCAGAGGCAACTGACCAATGTTTCTCTTCCTGCCCCTACCCCCACCTTCCTCTCTCTAAAATCAATAAACATATTCTCAAGTGAGGAAAGAAAGGGAGGAAGGAAGAAACAGTTCTGTGGGAGTTTAGAGCTAGTCACCCCAAGACATGCCTGTGTGGTATGTGTATTTTTTGGGGCTAAGGGCAATTTTACTGATGGGCCAGGAGAAATTTCTACCCCAGTCTTCAGTACCTGGAAGAACTTGAATTTGGCACCTTGTCCCTAATGGGAGCTATAACATATAACCTCTTTTGACCTGTCTGTAAGGTGGAATAACCTTCTATTTGCTAAACATCTGCTTTTATCATCCTGCAATGATGCTCTGAAACCCCCAAGTTACCATGTCCCATCCCTAGCTCAGAATGTCTTATATACCCATTTTCCTTTTCTGTCTCTGAACTTCTTGTGCATGTGCATTCCCATACATATGTAGCTATTATATTTGGTTATTTTCTCTTGCTAACCTGTCTTATGCCTCTTGGATTATTAGACCAGCCAAAAGAACCTTGAAGGGAGATCAAGTTTCTTCCTTCCACAGTCCCCATAACCCTGGGACAGAAGAGTACAGAATCCAAGATTAACACAGATATAACAAAATACACATGTGCAATATAAAAAATAAAATCTAGAACGCAGGAGTGACAGGCTAGCTACAATTTAGAACACGGAAAACCTTTAGATTTGTTAAGCTCTTGAAATTAATGAAAATTCTGCTTATATTTTTCTACTGAGAGCATTCAGAGCTTTCGTAAGAATTTCAATGTGAGTTTATGAACAACTAATGTACGTTAAATTAATGATCAATTTGTGTTGATAAAGGATTAATAGAAATGTGATATAGAAGATACATTCCTACAATTAGCTTAAGTTCAAATGAAAAAGTACAAAAACATTTGGACGACTTAAATGTAGGTTATAGTTTTATGTGTATTTACATAATACCTGAATTGTAATCTTCTGGACTGGTTATATAACACTGCAAAGATTCCGTCTAACACTGCTACTTTATTTTCTTTATATTATACCACAAGCAATTTTTAGATTCATTACCTCATTCTTGTTCCTAATGTTGCCTAGCAAATTATGAATACACCAAAGGCACTTAACCATTTTAGGCTTCGATTTTGATTTTGGTTTCTTAATAAATGTTAAAGACACTTTCATACTAAATATATTCACTAATAACCCTTTAAACTGGAGAGAGTGCAAAATATACTTTCAGAGAGGTTAGACCTCCTAATTGTAAGAACTAAACAGGCATACATCCTACAGATTTTGTGTAAATAAAGCTCCTAAAAGTTTCCAACCTGCAACTCCCTAGTGAAATTTACAAGAAACAAAAACTGATCCACTGAACACTGGCTCCTGAATACCCCTGGAACCTCCAGTTGTTTGATATTGAATTTTAAAACGTTATCACTTTTCGGCAATTATGAAAACAAACTTGTGAACACGTTATTTGTTACTCCTCTCCCTTTTAATGTAGGCAGAGAACTAGAAACCACTAAAGGCATTACACTTTTGTGTGTTCTTTTAAAAGTTATTTTAAATTATTACTATTACCAACCCCCCCTCCCCCCGAGAATGAAATCAAAGGAGACCTAAGGCGAAGCAGGAACTACAGAGGAAGAACAAAAATCTATATTAGAGCAATTAAACTAAAGTGCAGTCCTTGAACGACGGCTGACCTTCCTGGGACCGTGTACATTTCCCCGCCCCCCGCTTCCCGAGGAGGAAAGAGGTTAAGAAGCTATAAAAAAGGCTAGACGATAAATCTCAGACGTCATTTTAAAATGTATAGGAAACTACAGAGGAGCTCCAAGGTCAATCAACGTAGCATGAGGGGCTCCTCAGAAAGCTTTCTTGGGGTTAGGTACCTCTGGGGCTTGAAAGGACTGGCGTGGGGGTAGAGGAGGAAGGCTGGAAGGAAAGTGAGTAATGGGAAGGGGAGGGGAATGAAAAGAAAAAACGCGAGCTGACCGCGTAGTCTCGGGCAGAGAGGTCGGGCAGGAGAGGAGGGTGCAGAAGGAGAAGGGAGCCCCAGCCCCAGACTCGGCCCCGCCCCGGGGAGGACCGAGCGCCCGCTCGCCCCCCTTACCAGCTGGAGCAGGAAGCCCCAGAGCAGAGCGGCTGCCGCGGAGGGCAGCGGCCGCTGCGGCCCCATCGCACTGCTGGGCGCGCGGCGGGGCGGCGCGGCTCGGCGGGGGCAGGCTCGGGGTCCGGCCGCTGCACTGCCTCCGTGGCCGAGCCGGACAGGGGCTGGTGGCCGGTACCGCCGCTGTCGCTGGGGAGGCCACTGCAACGCCGACTTCCTTTTCCGGCCACGCCCGGAGGACGCGGAAACCCCCGCGCGGAGCACGTGGAGTCCCGAGTCCGAGCGCCCCGGCAGCCCTGCTTTCTCTGCGTCCCGGCGCTGGCTGGCCACCCGCGGTGGATCTGGGTGTGTCTCTTAACAGCTGCCTGACCTATATTCCTCCCCGAGTCCGGGGAGGCAAGGGACTTTTTCAAGATCCTCCTCGTAAAAGTCGCCCAGCGCTGCTCTGTGCCCCTGTAACGACCCAGGTGCTCTGAGCCTGAATCTATCGGCTCACCAGCAGGTCCTAGCCACTATGGTATAGGTATTCCAAGTCCGTGCACATTTTCCAAAACCGCTGCAACCATCCTATCTCGTGCACTACATCCGTCTCCTCCAAACTGGTCTCTGTTTCCACTCCTGACAGCCCATTACCTATAGAGCAGTCCTAGAGAGAGCTTTTGAAAAGTATAAATCAGCCCATGTCACTCCCCATCACACTTGGAACAAAATCAAAATTCTGGTCTGGCTTACAAAGCGTACATAATGTGGTCCCTGTCCTCTTCCCTGACCCCACCTTCACTACTTTCCCACCTTGCCCCTGGAATACCCTTGGTTCCTTGTCCTTTGCACTGTATTCCTCTCTGCTGCAATGCTCTTGTCTTTGAATACCTGGGGCATTGGCGTTCACTTGTCAGCTGTTGTCACATCCTTAGGGGGAACTTCCTGACACACCCAATCTAACCTAGCCACCCACTCACTTTCATATCACATAATTTATTTTAATTCTCCACATAGTACTTTATATTCTCTCATTTATCTGTTCATTTACTTATTTATTACATCACCTCCCACTCTATAGCAGGGAGTATCTTTGCGTTCTTCACTGCTATATCCCTTATACCTGCAACATTTGGCATACAATAAGTCCTTGTATTTTTTGGATGAATATTCAATACCAAACACTGAATAGGATGCTCTCCCTGCCACCCTACAGCTCAGTTTAGTGAGGGACACAGATGTGTGAGCAAACAGTTCAGGGTGAATAGGGACTCTTGGCACAAGATGCTTTGAAAATATCAAAGGGACATATGAAAGGTGTGCCAGGAAAAATTCCAACTGCAGCTGAGTCTGGAAGAGTGAGTTAATTTTAGCCAGACATTGGGCAAGGGAAGGGGGAGGCTTCCAGGAAGAGTGAACCATTAGTGTCAAAGCCAAAGGTGGCAGGGGAGGAACTGCAAAGCCTGAGCTTGGCTGAAGTTACGAGTGGTGAAAGATAAAGTGAGAGAAGGCAGAGGCCAAATAAGAAACAGATTGATGGTTTGCTTGGGAATTTAGATTTCACTCGGTGGTGGAGAGCAAATGAATAATAAGTAGAGCTCTGTGGCGGCAGGCGAGGTGGCAGAATTTCTGAAACAGAGCAGAGTAGAAGGAAGCCATGAGATGTTCCACAACTGCAGTAACCTAACCCAGGCCAGGGATTGTGAAGGCCTTAACTGAGATAGTGGATCTAAGGATCTGTAGCAGAATTTGTAACTGAGAAGGTGAGGAGATGGAAGGGAAGAATGAGTCCCGGGATCTTGCCCTCAGCCATCTACTGAGAGGATCACAACAGGTGGGGTTGGTGGTAGAATGGGTGGGGGAGGGGAAATACTTCTGGGCATGAGTTAGGAATGCTTATGGGACATCCAAATGTATGTATCTGTAGGTCGCTGGCTAAGTGGATTGACCCAAAGCTCACTGGCACAATGAGACCAGAACTTAGGTCTCCTGCCAGTCAATCCTACACTCTTCTCACACTTTCCAGCTGCCTAGGGCAAGCCAAGCCCCCCTTTTATAAAATGGTTAGATGACTTGAACTCTAAAATATTCTTTTCTGCTCATAGTAACCCTTTGCCTAGTGAATCTCCAAGGTGGCTCCTGAGGCTGTCTGAAATCTGTTTTTTCTTTCTACATTTATGCACATTTTTTCTTCCTCTCAGTACGAGAAACTTTTGTACCTGTCAAAGAACTTGTGTTGTACTATAATTCCTTGTGCAATTTCTTTGCCTGTTTTTGTTGTCTCAGCTGAAAAATGTGGGCAGCAATACCTGTTCTGCCCATATCACATGATTATCTTAAAAATTGCATAACCTATAGTTTGGGTAAAATTACTCTGAAAATTAAAAAACAATTTTTAAAGGAGGAGTTGGGGGTAGGAAAAGAAGGAAGAAAAAAAAAGAAGAAGGCTGTGTTACTGCTGTAGTCCAAAGTGTCAGCCTTTGTTTGTCATAATCCTTCTGCCAGAATGGTTTCTCCTTGGTCAAAGTCCCTGTGCAGGATGAAGTGAAGGAAAATAGGAGGGTTAATGGAAGATTAAAAGATTCCTGATTAGTGACTTTACTCATGGAACGGCTGTTAAAATTTATTTGAAATATACCTGTATTACGCACGAATTTCCCTGCAAGTATTAGGTAGGATAAAGGGTACCTGGATAATTGTTAGTCAATATTTTTCTTATCTAAATAAACTACTTACAAAACCAATTATGGAAAATAAGTATCATTAAAGATTGTTTTAATTTCTAAATGTAGTTAGTTAATGGATATATTTTTTTTTTTACCAGTGTTTAAAGATAGACGTTATTGGTTGTCAGAACCTTTGTAGTTGTAGAAAGTGGCCAGGAAATATTGGCTCCATTTGACAAAAGAGGAACCTGCCAAGCTGACAGCAGAAGGGAAAGAACTAAAACCCAATCTCTGACCCCTGCACACTAGATCACCCATACAGCCTGTGTGTGCTGCTACTGCGCAATGTTTTATTCACTCAGGGGACACTAAGGAAGTGTTGGTAATGAGCCCCAAGGACTTTCTTGGGCACTCCGAAGAATTCCTTTAGCATAAAGCAGGGATTCTCAATCTTGACTATTTATTAGAATCACACAGAAGAGCTTTAAACGACACTGATGCCTGGGCCCCACTACTCCCCCTCCCGCTGTGCGGATCCTAAATTGTATTGGTCTGGGTATAGCCTGTGTGTTACAGCTTTTAAAGCTCCTTGGGTAATTCTAATATGCAACCAGGGTTGAGAAACTTTGGCTGAGTAATTCTTTTTTTAAATAATTTTTATTTTCCAATTAAAATTTTATTAGTTTCAGGTGTACAACATAGTGATTACACATTCATATAACTTACGAAGCGATCACTCTGATAAGTCTAGTGCCCATCTGACACTACAGGTAGCTATTCCAATATCATTGACTATACTCCTTACGCTTGTAACTATTTTTATAACTGGCAATTTGTACCTGTTAATACCTTTCCCTTTTTCATCCATCCTCCGCACTACTTTCCCATCTGGAATCCATCAATTTGTTCTCTGTACCTATGAGTTTGTTTCTGTTTTGTTTGTTTGTTTGTTTTGTTTTTTAGGTTTCACATATAAGCGAAATCATATAGTATTCGTCTTCCTAGTCAGTGATCTTACAGTGTGCACCAAGCAGTATCAGTATCACCTGGCAACTGTGAGAAAAGTAAATTCCTCCAGAACTACTGAACTAGAAAGTCTGGGAACGGGGCCCAGTAATTGGGGTTTTAATAAGCCCCCTGAGAAATTCTGATGCATGGTAAAGTTTGAGATTATTGGTTTAGACCAACATTCCTTAACTCTGTGTGCAAAGTTACAGTGAAAAACAAACCCTATGCTCCAATATTAATCGCACTGAAAGGAAAAATAGACAAATCCATAATTATAGTTGAAAATTTCAACTCTTCTCCCTCCATAGTTGAAAGAACAAGTAGTTAAAACACTCGTAAGGATACAGAAGACTTGATCAATGCTATCAACCAACTTCACCTAACTGGCATTCATAGGACATTGCACCCAACAACTGCATAATACATATTATCTTCATGCATACACAGGAGCTTTGCCAGAATAAACTATTTGGCCATAAAACAAGCCTCCATACAGTTAAAGTTTTCAAATCATACAATGTATGTTCTTTAACCACACCAGAATTAAATTAGAAATCAATAACTGAAAGATATCTTGAAGGTCCTCAAATAATTAGAAACTAAACACATTTCTAAATAACCCATGGACCAAAGAAGGAACCACAGGGAATTAAGAGAGTATTTTGAATTCAAGGAAAATGCAAATGTGACATGTCAAATACTGTAAAATGCAGCTAAAGTTTTTAAAAAGTGCTTAAAAAAAGAAATATGTAACACATAATAGGAAGGTATAAACATTTAAAATCAATGACCTAAGTTTCTACCTTAAGAAACCAGAAAAAAAGCCAATTAAACCCAAAGGTAAGCAGAAGAAAGGAAGTGAAACTGTATGAGCAGAAATTAATAAAATAGAAAACAAAAATACAGTAAAGAAAATTAGTAATGTCAAAAGACTAGCTTTTTAAGAAGACTAATAGAATTGGAAACTGTAGTGAAACTTATTAAAGGAAAAAGAGAAAATACAAATTACCAATATTAGGAATAAGAGAGGAAATGTTCCTAAAGGTCTTCAAGACATTAAAGAATAGCAAGTAAATATTATAAACAACTTTATGCCAATAAAACTGACAACTTAAATGACATGGAGAAATTTCTTGAAAGACAAACTATTCAAAAATAAATAGATATTAGTGATAGGAAGATTACCTATTTTAAAAATTGGTCATGAAAAACCTTCCCACGAAGAAGATTTCAGGCTCACATAGTGTCAATGTGAATTTTACCAAGCAATTAAAGAAGAAGTAACACCATTTATACACAAATATTTTCAAAACGTGAAGAGGTGGTAATATTTCCCAGCTCATATTGTAAATCCAGCATACCTTGATACCAAAAGCAGACAGATGTTGAAAGAAAACTACAGACCACAGAGAAGGAAACCATCAACAAAATGAAAAGATTTGTAAATGATACATCATATAATGGGTTCATATAAAAAATGTATAAGGAGCTCATACAGCTTACCCCAAAAACAACAACAAAAACCCAAACTATCCAATTAAAATATGGGCAGAGGACCTGAATAGACACTTTTTCAAAGAAGGCAGATAGATGGCTAACAAACACTGAAAAGATGCTCAACATCATTTATCATTAGGGAATTGTAAATCCATACCAGAATGAA